CCTGATCCCCTCGTCGGCCGAGCATCCCTACGTTGGCAACGCCTTCGGGTGGGGCAATGTGCTCATCAGCGCTGGCGATGTCATGTCAAAGCCCCTCAGTTACGTCGCCCGCCAGGTCCGACGGGCCATCAACGAGCAGGGCACCCGCGCGCAGCACGAGGCGTACTACGCCATGGTGAAGTCGTCTGGGACCGGCCTGCCGGTCGCCATCATGGGGGATGGCGGCATGTACCAGATCGGGTTTTCCAACTGGACCAAGGCGGGACTCTTCGGGCTTGACTTCGCACCGGCCCGCGTAAACCCCGCCGAGGAGGGTACTGCTACTCAGTGTCGGCCATCATACGTCCAGGAAAACCACGGGCCCATCAAGCCTGTGGATGGCTTTTTCGTCCTGGGCAAAGATAGTCTGGGTAACTACTGGACGTCGGCGTGTAAGTTGCATGGGCAGTGGGAGAAGCTTGAGGAACAGCTCAGGAAGGACTTTGAAGTCTAGATCAGGGCTTGATAAGAATGTGGCGAGGATTGCTTTTGGAAACAGACCCAGGCGACCTCCTAGGCTTGCTGAAGGCCTTGGGAAAGTAGTTTGAAGGCTTTATCGACGGGAACCGAGAATTCGTCGAGTTCCTCGTCGGGGAAATGGTCTGGCATGATTCTGTCCCGAGAAACTTCCGCTGAGGATTCAGTCCCTGGCATCTCTGTGCGGTCTTCCTCCTCGCTGGAGGAGGGCACATTAGGGTCGACAAAAGTTTTCTTGGGCGTGCAGGGAAAATACACAACAATTATTCCATTGACCAGGTGTCTATTCTTCCTACTGCCCGCCGTGCTTTCCTCCGGAAGAGATTGTTGACATTTAGTACTGGGGACGATCGACGGCTCACGACCGTCCTGCGGAGCAGAGCCAACCTCCGTTTCGAAGCCACTCTAAGACCCCCCGCAAGTCCGCAACGTGACCCGAGTCATCGACTAAGTTGGCCCATTAAAGCTCGTCACCCGCTTCAAGGACCAAACGTCGTTCTCATACTTTGTGAACGGCATACTCGACGATGCCAACCACTCGGAAGCCTACACCGAATGTGCCGATGTCACCGTCGAAGAGATGTGGATTGACCACTCCGGCCCCCCTACCTTGGTCGATAGGAGTGGCACGTACTGCCAGAATGGTAGCAGGGTCTCCGGCGGTGTTGTCGTCTCCACGTCTGTTACAGAGCACGGTGAGGTATGACCGCCGCACAACTGTGTGGCACAGAGAGGTCATCGTCACATCTTGTTTGGGCGAGGGAAACTGCCTGTCCGCAAAAGGCGGAGTGCAGCCAACTGGTCTGTCAGTCTCGAAGACAGTCCCGCCCCTATCTCGCACCACGAACAGTGAGATTCCGGATAAAACTTGCATTTTTTTACCGTCCTTGAAGTTCCGTAAAACAGGATAAACACCAGAAGATATCTCTTAGAAAGGGCCATCGATATGTTAGCACCGTCAGCCTTCTCCCTCACTCGGATCTACATGGGCCTTCTAAGCCTCACTGCCTACTAACGGAGGCCACCCCGTCTCTTCCTACTCTTCCTTCAAGCTGCCGATTTCCCGGCCTGCGCGCGCCTCTCCATCACCGTCGCTGCCCCGCTCTTGGCAGCCATGCCTCCTTGACTGTGTCTCTTGTTTCGTCTGCTACCTTGAGGTATGTAACCGTGTCTGTGATCCTGCACCGTGTCACTTATTCTGCACCGGTCTTTCGGTCACCGTCGCTGCCCCGCTCTTGCTGAACATACCTGGTTACCTCTGTGTCTTGTCCCGTCTGCCCTGTACCCGTATTTCTGATCCTGCGCTGTGTCGTACATTTGTAGTAGCCATAGATTCCTTCGCCGACCGCGCCCCCGCCCTGAACTGGCCCTAATTGGAGCCTGGGCATGATTCAACAAAAAGTTATAAAAGCCAGCGCTTTCCACCACCTCACTGACCAAAGAATGTAACACTCTTCACTCAGTATCATCAACCCAACAGACCAACAAACAGAAGCTTCAGTTCCCACATTTCAAAACAAGAAAACTTCATTCCCTTCTACAACACCTCACAAGCCCCCCCTACTTCCACTAAGATGCAGCTCCCTAGCATCCACAACATCCTCCTCCTTACCTTCTCCACCACCTTGCTCATCTCGGCGCACCGGATGGAGTCCCTCATCGGCCAGGCAGAGCATGCAAAATTCTTCAATAAAGGGGGCGATTTCTGGCACGTCAATGCCCACACGGGCTGCCACGACACCCCAGTCCCGCGCCTGGTGCAGTTGTGCGTGGATTGGGACATGGGACGAGCCCACTTTCAGTATGCCCGCGAGCCGAGACGGTGTATGAGAAGGGATGGGAATAGGGACAACGTGCACTTGTGGGCCGAGACGATCTGCGATTGGCGGAGGGCCGAGGAGGAGGTCGTGGCCGACGACAGCGATGGTGCTGATCCTATTCTGGTGGTTTGAATTGGGCAGTGATGATTACACTTTGGACGGAGGAACGGGCGGGAGGCACAGAGAGAAGGGAGAATACGTCTGCTTTGATAGCCCGTGTGTACAGGGAGTTCTTTTCTGGTGTTTTCTGCTTTGATTGAAGACAACAGACTGAAATCGCCGCCCTCAGGACGCTCCCAAGGGCATATGTTGTGGACTAGGCCGTCTTATAAATCCGGCAGTCTACAGGTCTCATTGCATCTTTTAGGTACCCCTCTCGGTGAAATTGAGCGAGTGGGCGGCGGCAGCAAATCCCACGTTGGTCGATTACAGCCCCCCCTCCTTGCCAAAGTCGGCCTCCAAAGTCGCCTTACCCACCGCAGCAAGGGCCGCAACAGGCGCCACCAGCCCATACCGGAAGAACTCCTGCATCTTCGGATCCCCCGGGTTCTGAGCCCACGACCGGATGATGCCATTCTCCTGCTCACGGCCCGGCAGGCTGTCAAGCTCCGTCAGCATCTCAAGACCCTCCTGATACACCTGCCACTCCTCCGAGTGACCCATGGGCGCGTGCAGGTGGATGAGGAACAGCATCATCTGAATCAGCGACAGCTGGTCAAGATGGGCCAGCGCCTCGAGCGGCGTCTGGGAGTGCCCCGCAGCTGTCAGGGCACGCTTCGCAAAGGCCGCGAGGGCGCCGCCTCGTGGAGCTGTGTTGCTCAAGCCCTTGACCAGCTTCATACACCCGTGCAGGCGGAGCGGGTGAAAGGGCTCGGTGTACTTGAAGGGGTCGCTCTCGGTGGCGGCGAGGCTGGAAACGGCCAGGGCGGCTTCAAAGTTGTCGAGTCCGACGTAGTAGCTGATAGCCTCGGCGAGGAAGTGGCCGTTGGGCTCGTTGGCCCAGCGGTCCTGGCATCGGAGGGCTTCTGAAGCACGGTAGGCGCGGGATAGCTGACGATGGCGCTCGGTCGGACCATAGGAGCCTGTCCCGGAGGGCGGGAGCAGCTGCTTGATCTTTTCGAGGGCCTCGCTGTCCTCGCCTGCGCTTGAGGGTCTTGGCTTGGAGTAGTCCAGCCCGGGTACGAGGCTCATGACCTGGTGTCTCTTGACGATGGGCGTCTTTGCGGCCACGGCGTAGTTGTCAAGATCGCCTTCACACCGGGGGCATGTGCAGGTGAAGTGATAGTGGGCGAGGTCCCTTTGCCGCTGGGCGAGGGGCTGCGTGCAGTCTGGAAGGGGTTAGGGTATTAAGACATGGGGATGATGGCACAGGGCAGCTCACCAATGTATGAGATCTCGACTTCCTCGCCCGATTTGATGGGTCTGAGGACCCGGAGGAGGGCCTTGCGGCCGCCAAAGGCGATGACGGCGTTGGGCACGCACGAGTGGTTGACCATGGCGAGGGTCGGGTGCATGAAGATGCCGTCCTGGCCCGTCTCGGCTTCAGACCTGCTAAAGGCGTTGGTTTGGATCTGGGAGGTTAGCAAATATTCGCAAGTGAGCTTGGAGCTTTCCCACCTTGCACAAAATGTTCATGACGCGCCGCTTGGTAGCCTCCTCGCCCTCGGGCATCGCCGGCAACCAACCCATGAGCACCCGCGCCTGCAACTCAAGATCCTCCCACTTGACGCCCTTCTCCTCCTCAAAATTTTCAAAATGTCCATTCAACTCCGTGTCCAACCTCCCATACGCCGCAGGAGCAAGAAGGATTCGTATAGCAGCGCGCACAGCTGTCGGCACAGGGGCACCATCTTGAACATCCTTCCCGACTGAGGCGGCGGCACGGACGAGGACGGGACACTCTTGCTTGTGAGCGACCTTCCAGTCCGTCTTTTGGCAGGCGGGTGAACAGTATGCCACAGAGCGGCAGGCTGTGCAGCGCTTCAGGGTGGGTGAGGAGGTGAGGCAGTGGGCGCAGGTTGTGGAGCGAGAGGGGGTGGCGGGGAGGACGAGGGCGCGGGTGGGAGGGGAGTCGGTGAATGTGTCAATGAGGGTGCCGGGTTCGAGAGCGTGTGAGGCGATCAGCGCGCGGCCGCGGGGGGAGGGTGAGATGGTGTAGGGTGGCATGGCGGAGGGTGATGGTGAGGGACTGAGGGTGAAGGTTGTGATGTCGGGTGGAGTTCAAGTTGCGAAATGAGTTCGAATTGGCGCACGGCGGGTTACAGGCGGTCGGCCGCTGTAACTTCGGGGGTTCGTCCACTGTAATTCGACGTGCGCGTCGGGCACAATTCAACTCGACTGCGTCTGCCATTCCAACATTAAGTTGAATGATAGTCAATCGTCAATTTCCCCGTGCTTGGATAATGTCTTTTCCCTCGATTCAGTTGGTCACGGCCGTGGTATCGGCCCTCAGTTCTGCTGCCTTCGAGCATCTCCCCGCAAGAAAAAATCCAATCCTCTGCAGAGGTTCATGTCCTACGAGGAGCAACAATTCAACTTCCCACCTCTTCCAACAAAGATCACATCATACAAAAATGAACTCTGCCGAGCTAAACACCACCTTGAACTACTGCGACCCCGAACATCAAAAAATCATAATCCTCTTGCCATGACTGACAAAAGTATTGGTCACTACCAGGATCGAACTGGCGACTTTCGCATTTCAGAGTCCGGAGAACCGGCCATATTAGTACGACACTCTAACCAACTGAGTTAAGCGACCAGTTGATGAAAAGATGGGTCGTTGCACGCATAATGTACTGTTGATTGACGTCGTGATGTGACTTCGAAGTCTTGGAGCTTTGGCGTCGCACATGACCCTCGCAGTCATCAACAGTAGAGAAATTGGTGAAGATAATTTGAGCAGGTAGCCTGAAACGTTGCTCACTGACTTGTCTGTGGTGGATTTTGGAAGGATACGGTGGCTGGCGCTTCTCCCAGGGGCAACAGCCTTGCATGGTGCCTGTCACTGATGTTGGCCAACTTCGTGATACGACCGCCTAGAAATGTCCATCATTTGTTCAATGGTAAAAAGTATGTACGTGAAGTTTATCTTCCCATCCTAACCAGAGTCAGAAACAGTGATCCTAGCCGAACCACTGCTGAAGTATCCCTCAGTAGCCACAATCTGGTAATCATGCTGTCCGATAGGAAGCCCAGCAGCCCGCCAAGCGTCAAAGTGGCAGCCCGTCTGGACAGTACCGCCAGTCCGCTTGTTGCGACGAACAGACCAGTACTGCGTGAAAGTCTGGGTGCCATCGATACTAGGGGCGTTTGTGCGCGTGGCGCGCGCAACATCGTAGACGCTGCCGTCGCAAGTGACGGTTCCGAGGCGCTCGGCCTGGGAGGAGGGGTCGTAGGTGCCAAAGTTCTCGACGATGTAGTACTCGACGAGGGGGCTACGCATCCAGCCGTAGACGGCGAGGTAGCTGTTGCCGTTGGGGGAGTAGGTTCCCGAGATGGTGATGGCGCTGGACGAGTTAGTTGGGGGTCGTTTGGGAGAGGGCAGATTGAGCTTACCGTGCGTCGACACCGGGGTTCCATCCCTTGCCACCAACGAGGTTGCCTCCCGACTGCCACTCGACGCTGTACGAGCCGCCGGCGAGGTTGGTGTAGGTAACGGGGGCACCGCCATCGCTCCACCACGAGTAGAAGAAGCTGAAAGTCAATTAGCACATGGAATCTCATCTGCTTCAGGCATGTCCTTTGCTTACCCATCGTGGGTGCCCTGCGAGTTGGGCGTGGCCTGACGCCTCGCCAGTTCATGCACCTCAGGGGTATCAGTCGCAGGCGCGGCGAAAACACCGGCACCGGCGGCTCCAAGCAGCAAAAGAGAAGAGAGAGCGACCATTGTGATTCGTTTGCAGGATGTCGATCGTGGGTGATCTGTTTCGTCTGGACTTCAAGGTCGCGGACGAGTGACCCTTTTGTACTTGATCAATTACTCCCCCGGGGATGCGATCGACGACCCGCTGCCTCTTTGGACAGAAGCCGGGATCAGCCTGAAAAGGGGGCCGCGGCGTGTCCCATTCATATTAATTCGTCCCCTCTGAATATTCTCGGCGCCGAACCACAGCCCGTCGGTCCGTTTCAAGCTTGTGGAGTCGCCCACTGGGAGAGGAACACTGGATGTTGCCAAGGACATGCTTGACGTGATGTCGCGGTGCTTTCTGATGACGACTTGCAATTTAGCCACGGCATTTGCTGTGAAGACGAGATTGGAAATGCTGGAGAACTTGTCGGCGGTCGCCACGTCAAACTGCCGTCCGATCCTTTTAGCCGCCGTGTCGTGGATAGTGCGGGGTGCAGCGCAATGCCGGGGCCAACAGGGGTCATTGCGTGCCTTAATCAAGGCAACACCCGCTGGGACACTGCCGGCATAGCCTAAATTGCGTTGACCTGGGCATTTCTCACCGAGGGCTGGTGGAGCCTGTGATGGCTTCAGCGTTGATGACATGGCTGGGCAGTCAACGGTGCGGACAGGACGCACAGGCCAGCCCTTCAAGTTGTGTCTCTGTACATGCCTCTTGTCCCATTTGTCAACTCAATCGCCTGCAGGTTGATAAATCCCCTTCCTGCCCTCCCGTCCAACGGGGCCGCGGTGGTCGAGCTGGTTAAGTCAGTGGATTCCACCAAACAACCCCCTTCCACCGTTGCGCCCTATACCTGGGTTCAATTCCCAGGCCCAGCAAAATCCCCAAACATCGTGGGATTTTCTACCCCTTCGGATCCTTGCATAGCAGGGTGCCCAGAGGGGGTCTTTTTGCCGTTTGTTGTGACCACGGTCTCCAGGGTCCACACCGTGGCCGTACCCCGCCACTCACCGAGGACCCCACTATTCACCGAGAACATCACCAGATTTCGACACAGCGAGTCTGGGTATGAAAAGACCTGTACCACATGCTTCAATTTGGTGATCGTGAAGTTTAGAACATGCGTGTAGCTTTTGAAGACCTGAGGCGCAGAGAGATGTTTCTCCTCAGGTGTTTGGCCTCCAGGGCCTCTAACAGTCCATCGCTTATGTTCGTCCGTCGTCCGTTTGCTGCCCTCCTTCTGCCTAACTCGCTGCGCCTGCACGTGCCCGAGACGCGTAAATTCACTTGAATTCAACTCCAATCACCCACCGCGTTCCCAGATCACGTCCATCCCCCCGGCCTACAAACAGCTCTGGCTGGTTTTCTCCCACCCACCTCCCCAATTCATACCAAAACAACAACCACCACCACGTTGCGTCTGAAGGTGCACATCAAGGTCAGTACAAAGCATCAAATTTATCCTCATCAGCTCGCACTCACAACACATATCAACAGCCTCGACGCGATGGACCTTCCCTCCCTCTCCCTCTTGTCGCTGGAGACGGAGCCGCTGACCCTCATGCGCCTCCCCACTGAACTCCTCGAGTCCATCGCCCAGGAGCTGCCCCCCGAAGATCTTCCCGTCCTCGTCACTGTCAACAAGCGTCTTCGAGACATTTCACAGCGATTCATCTTCGAGGCCATCGACATTGAATGGGGAACCCGGGCGGCGCCCGCCAAGATGGAGCGCCTGCTTCGATGCATCCAGGACAACCCCCATCTCGCCGACCTCGTTCGCAATCTCACCTTCTCTCGGCCTGAGGATGATGACGACTTCTTCGCCGAAATTGGCCACGACGACGCAAGGATCTCAATTCAACACTTGACGGACGACACCCTCGACAACATGGTCAAGAAACTGGGCCTTGTGGAGTTTCATGAGCCCATTGCCGAGAGGATGAGGTCTGGCAAGGTTGTCGCCATTGTTCCTCTCCTCATCGCGCAATTCCCTCGCCTCGAGAATCTCCGACTTTACGGCCCCATTGCCGAGAAGCAAATGTTGCTCGCACTGGCAATCGGCCGGTCCTACGCTGACTCCATCAAGACGGGCCAAGACGACCCCGCGCGCCGGTTTGGTCTCATCAGAGCCGTCGTATCCGAGATGGACATGACAGACGACACCTTGGATGAACCAGCCCGAGTCACCGCTATGGGATACATCTATCTCTCACGCCTCGAGTATTTGGCCGTCCACATCCCCTACGGAACGCCGGCGAAGTGGCCCTTGGAAGAGAAGCCAACCCCGACCAACCTGCAACTGCTCAAGATCGAAGTCTATCGCAAAGATAGCCTTGGAGCCGAGCTTGTCAAGATGCTTGTCAAGGCCTGCCCGGCCTTGCGTTTCCTCCACTACTTCACCATATGGCACTCGGACGACCCCTCCGGCCTCGACCTAACTGAGCTGTCCTCCGTTCTGCAGGCAGCCACCGGACCGATCCGCGGCCTAGACCTCGACCTTGCGAGGGTGCCCTTCTCTCCTGTGCAAGCGCGAACCACGACAATGCTCGGCGTGGTAGGCATGGTCTTCGGAGGATCCGGCCTCATCGAGATAGAACAGTCCGAATCTTTTGTGACCGGAGAGCTCCAACTGGCGTCCATGGCCCACGTCGAATGGCTCAATCTCACCTGGGTCCATCTCTTCGGTCTGGCCCCCGGCTCCAACCTGCCGCTCGGCCCCTCGACCTTCCCCCCAGGAATGACACATCTGACCATCGTCTCCTCCAAGCTTGAAAGGCAGGAGCATCACTTCTGGCGCCTCCTTGATCGTGTGCGGGCAGCGCGTGATTTCGTCAGCGTCTGCCGCACCTACGCTCCCCATTTGGAGGAGATCCGCTTCAGGCACAGCACTTTTACTCAGCACCCACTCGAGGGCCGCATCAGGCGCGATCTTCAACGTGCGGCCGAGCTTTCGAGTGTGGAGATCGCCTTCGACTTGGAAGCCTTCTCCGTTTACAGCCTGACCACCCCTGGAGAGGATGAAGAGGTACCGCACGACTGGCAGTGGCTAGTGCCTGATGAGGCGGTGGAGGACGACGGTGCCTCACAAGTCTCTCTGGACTAGGTGGACTTGGTTGCGAGGCCGTGACAATGGAGGATAGATGGCAGGGTATGGCTGTGACAAGACAATGGAAGATGGCTGCGGGAATATGATGATGTCGGGTATCAGTTGTGTGTCAGACCTCTCTGGGTGGTCCATGTTTTTCGAGTACATAGGTAATCGACAGAGAGACCTAATCCTCAGCTATGTCCCCTCACCCCCAAAGAGTACTTGGCCCAGACCGAGACCACCACAAGAGATACTAGGACACCTGTGGACTTGTCAGCTGTGTCGAAGGTCAAGAAGAGCACGACCGAAGACTCACCTGTTCCAAAGGCCAGGACAAGGTCTGTATCCATCCGCTCCCAAAGGCTCTGGGTTGTCTTCCTGATCTCCACAGTCTCTGCCATTTTGACTGAGTCCAGCAGGGGAGCCTCAGCCGGCTCATCAGCCTCGATCGCTTCATCCACTGCTGCCGCTTCTGTTGGGCCCCTCGACGCGATGTGGCTGTCTAGCAAGGAGAACAGCACGTCCTGGTTCGGGAGCTCGATGGCCCGGATCAACTCCCGAAATGTGACGCTGATCTCCTTTCCAACTTCGATTTCCGTGCCGCTGATACCAGAAAGCCATTTCAGAACATTGATGTCGACTTTCTTGGGCGCTGTGCTCTTTCCAACGTAAGCATTGAAGACACACTGGCCATTCGAGTTCAGAGTCCACACTAGACATGCCTCTCCAAAACGGAAAATAAGCTTTTCAATCCGGAGCTCGTGCCCAGATTCTGATGCAAGATGTCCAGGTATGACAGCAATGTCCATTTCGTCATCCGCGACACCGCGGCGTAAGAATTCCTCGAGATGCCGCTCCCAACGTTTTGACGCTCGTTTCCGCCATTCTTGGAGCCCGAATGTGGCAACATATCTTAGCACAACAGTGGCCTCAAAAACGAGAGCCTGCCGCCACGGACTGAACCAGGCACAATCTGTTGAGTCCCACCTGCCATTCGTTGATGCGTTATCGGCGTTCACGAGAAGACTCGCGGTTTCCTTGTGTAAGAATGTCCCTGCTTTGAGAAGAACATCAAAAAGCGAATCATCTCTTGCGTGGTCCCTTAGGTGGAAGATAAAGTGAAGGGCCATCCTCTTGAGTGAATTGTCGACCACCCCAGTATCATGCCGGAGCTTCCATAAAACATAGTCGTCGGATCCATGTTCCATCGCGATGAGAATTGGACGGTCTATGCCACGGGACCTGTTGCTTTTGGCCTCGTCTGAGCTCGAGGGAGAGCCGTATGAGTTGCCAGGAAATGAGACGTGGTGAGCAGTCCGCCCTGCATGACTTCCCAATTTAATAGACACTTCTTGATCGCCGCAGTAATTCATGCCGTGCAACCCAGCCTCGCCGGTAAGAAAGTCGATGTACTCGAGAAACTCGTAGGGTGGCTGATCCGGGACAGCTGGTGCCGCAAGCCGCAGAATGGTAAGGCCGGCATAGTCGTGGCCTCCTCCATGGTCTGGACCCAGCGCCCTGATCTGTGCCAAGATCAAACTGGATGCGGCGTCTCCAGCATCGAAATCTTTGTCAGACAGCTGCAGGTTGTTCTCCTTGCTGCTCCGTATCTCTTTCAGATACTCGTGAACAGAGCGGTGCGTGTAATCAATCGACGGGCCGGCGGCATCTTGAAGTTGCGCGATTGGGTTCACTCGGGCCTCAAGCAACCCTGCACAGTTGGCCCTGAGCTTTTTGGCTGCCATTTGCATTCTTTCTTCCACGGTCAATCTTCCTGGCGTGACGGTGTTCCAGAATTCGTCTGTCGCGAACTTCTGATCTCGCTCGTAGTCGTCCAGAAAGGAATAAGCGAGCAATGTCAGCTTCGGTACATACGAGTGCCTGACGTCGATTGAACGGGAAACATGGTCGATTCGATCTAACATGGAAAAGATCTTGCAGGCGTTCCTAAGCTTTTTCTTGTCGAGGGTCTTGAGGATGTGGTGGAATAGGTCTTCGAGTTCCGTGGGAGTAGAATCTAGCAGGTTGGTGAGTTCGGGGGCCGACATCCCGTCTTCGATGGCCTCTCTCATGGATTTCACAACCAACGCAACCCATAAGAATATGCCATCGGCCTTGGAGGCAACGTCATGAATGAGCATCCGCTTGGCTTCGTCGTCTGGAAGGTGGTCCAGTCGGTCTTGTACGTATTTGCGGATATCAGACAGGGTCAGGTCATGAACCCGGAGGCGGTGGTCTTCGCTGAAAGCGTTCATGAAGACGTTGTACTCCCGGCTTGACACGCAGAGCTTGACGTTTCCACTTGAAATTTTGGTCCAGGAAATGAGCATGTCAACCATGCTTTTGTGGTCTTGCTGGCTCGTCTGCTCATACTCATCGAGTCCATCGATGAAGAAACAGAATCGGTGATGGGCGTACAAGTCTCGATCCCGAATGAGTTGCTCGAATGCGATCTGGATCTCTCTTGGACGGATTTCAAGCTCTGGCTGTGGATGTGGGTGGTCCACGACGCGGGCCCAGATGGCTGGTAAAACAGACTGAATGAGTTTTGGGCAGGCAGCGAGTATGTCATGCAAGAGCGAGCGACACAGCCCCGAAAGAGACTTTTGTAACTTGGAGCCAGGTTTCCAGAAAAAGAAGCTGGCGGACACCAGCTGTTTGTCCACTCCTGTTCATATATATGTATCAGTCCGGGCCTCACGATTCGAGTGATTGGCTTACCAGCCCATGTTTTGAGTTCGGCCTGCGTTCTCTCATTCTCCAGGAGGAACTTCATCAAGGTTGACTTCC